TTAAAGGCAAAGAACTTTAGTGACAGAGCAGAGACTTTTAGTGACAATATTTGAACAATTTTTTTTTTTTTTTAAGATTTTGTTTGTTTTTGAGAGAGAGCACAAGCAGGGGTGGGGAAGAGCAAAGAGAGAGAAGGAGAGAATCCTCAAGCCGACTCTGCTGAGCACAGAGCCTGACGTGGGGCTTGATCTCACGACCCTGAGATCATGACCTGAGCCGAAACCAGGAGTCGGATGCTTAACTGACTGAGCCACCCAGGCGGCCCACCGTATTTGAAAAGCCTGAATGCATCCTCCTCAGGACCCCAAGACAGGCTGAAGAATAGTCCGTGGCCCTGAAACATACAAATGGGTGTGTGGCTGAACCAATCTGCCAGGTTATTAACAGGCACAGGAAAGATAATAATACTATTGCTAATAAGTGCATATTACTATGCATTCTCCCGCTTAACCCTCACAAGGACAGTGCCGTACGTAAGGTTATCATTTTCATGAGCCAGACGAGAATTCAGTGCAGGCTCAGAGTGATCAAGCAACTTGCCCGTGTCATGCAGCGGAGAAGAAACAGAGCCTGGCTGCAGGACTCCGGATCTCAAGCTCTTGACAGCTCTTGTTGAGCAACAGGTTTCTCTCATCTCCTCTACAAGAGCCAGAGAAGACAGCCTAGATGTAAGTCTGTGAACTGAGCCGTTTATTCATCGTCAGCCCATAACTATTTACTGAGCGCTCACTGTGTGGCAGCACTCAGTGAGTCTGGCCACGGGGATGCTGAGATTAATAAGCTCAGCCTTTGTTCTCACGAAGCGTGTTGTCTAGAGAGAGAGGTCAGTATCTAAACCAGCATAATAAAACCAATGGCTCCAGGCTGCTTCTGGGGTGGGGGAGGGGGGCACATATGTCCAGAGGGTCCCTGTGTGGGAAAAGATGGTGATTCCCAGGCGCAAAACATGGACCAGGGTGTGTGTGGAGTCATGGCACGGGGCTTTTCTCTGACCTCATCGCCTGGCCGAACCTCCATTTCTGAGCCATGAATCCCAGAAACTTTCTGGCAAAAAAACGCTGGGCTCAGGAACGTGTATTTAGCTTTTACCTTGTTGGGAGTGGGGGAGACTACAGAAACCCTGTCATTTTGTGTGTTGTAAGGCAGGGGTATTGGCTGCTTCTTTGGAACAACCTGTTTTATTGTTCTGAGAAGAACCCTTGATATATGCACAAAAGTCAAAAGAGGCCATACCTGGACAAGGAGACATTTAGGACTGGCTCAAAGGAGCTCCAGCTACTGTGGGATAAGGAGAGAGCTGCTATAGGCTAGACTGCTTTTCTGCAGGGAAGTTCTTACTTTGGGACCCCTTGGGTATGGCGCCTGGGTGGGAGGTGGGTTCACCAGTGAGATTTAAGAGATGCACAAAACCTCTGAACTTGTGGGGGAAATGTTGTATTTTGTGCTTTTTTTTTTTCTGGGTAGAGGATTGAGAGCTTTCATCAGATTTTCCTAGGGCTCCTTGAATACCCCAAGAAAGCGAAGGATCACATCTTTGAAGATTAATTAATACTTCTTTGAAATATTAATTTTCTTCTTCTTCTTTTTTTTTTTTAGATTTTACGTATTTGTTTGAGAGATGGGGAGGGAGAGAGTAGCAGAAGAAGAGGGAGAAGGAGACTCCACGCTGAGCAGGGAGCCCAGAAGTTCTAGGGAGGACAAAGGCATTCAGCCCCATGGGCATCAGCAAGGCACAAGGAGGTTAGGGGGGGCAGTCTTGTATTGTATGCAGGACTCGATCCTATGACCTGAGCGGAAGGCAGATGCTTAACCGACTGAGCCACTCAGGGGCCCCTGAAATACTAATTTTCTAAGTGCAGCTTTAAGCTATACCTGCAGCAATTGCTCGTTTTTGGGGTAGTGTGTGTATTTTTGGTTCTATGCTCCATGCCAAGATCCGGAGCTGAGACCCAGAAGACAGGCAAAAGGGCAAAAGAGACCTGTGGGTGTGCTTCCCCAGGCACTGGAAGAAGGCCCGTCTAACAGGGACAGGATAGCCTGGGGCAGAGTTCAACGTGATCTCGACTGCCCGAGGCTACACGGGGTTGTTTCAAACTGTGCAGCCCAGAACCTGGGAAATAGCTTCATGCTACCTACGGGATTGAATTTTGAGATTTTCATTCTGCTGGGGCCTTAAGCAACATCATAGTGTCAGTCATCCGAGGACGAAGCCATTCCTGGCTCAGAGAAGGAGGGAGGAGAGTTGGTTTGGATGAAGGTGAAGGAAAATCCCTTCCTTGCTCTGGGCTCATGGGTTGGGCTAGACCTTCTAAGGCATTGATGTCTGCTGCAGGGCACACACAGAAGAGGTGGGGGGGAGGCTGGTCCTGCCAAGACATGGGCCGGAACTGGGTTTGGGAATGTGGGCCCAGGAGGACGAAACCAGCCTCGGAACTCTGAGAGCAGCCCTGCCCAGGCAAAGGTTTCCTGGGATGTCCTCCTGACCTTGTCAACTGTAAGCTCTGGTGTTACTCACCCTTGGCTCCCCAGTGCCTAGCACAGTGCTGGCCCTTAGAAGGAGGTGAATGAATGGAATGTGCCTCCATCCCCTAGAAGGCTGTGAACTCCTTGCAGGCAGGGCCCATTTCTGGATCAATACAAGACTGCCCCCACCTATCTTCCTTGTGCATTGCTGATGCCCATGGGGCTGAATGCCTTTGTCCTCCCTAGAACTTCTCAGCTCAAACCCATGCTTCCCTCGGTCCTTCTGGATAAGTGATGGAGACCCCAGCAATTTACTAATGGAAGGAGCTATCACCATTGGTTCTGGCCATGCCCCATCTCTTTTGCCTTTCGGAAAGGTGACAGTATTTTTTTTTAAAGATTTTATTTATTTATTTGAGAGAGAGAATGAGATAGAGCGTGAGAGGGGGGAGGGTCAGAGGGAGAAGCAGACTCCCCGCCGAGCAGGGAGCCCGATGCGGGACTCGATCCTGGGACTCCAGGATCATGACCTGAGCCGAAGGCAGTCGCTTAACCAACTGAGCCACCCAGGCGCCCCATGGTGACAGTATTTTTCAGTAGAGGTCCTCAGTACCCACATGCCGGAGCCTTGTGCATTTATTTGTCCATTTATCACTCAATCACTCATTCATTTGTTCACTCCCATGCCCACTCACGCACTCACTCATGTCTTCAGTCATCTGACTATTCATCTCATTCATTCGTTCATCTAAACTTGCAGACCACTGCAGAATTGAGATGCTTCAGACAACAGGTCTTGCCTCTTAGAGCTCCGAGATTGGGGTACAGGGCACAAGAGCCATGAACACACACAGTGGAGTAAAAAGTAGTAAACTGCATGAGAGATATACAAACAGGCCACTGAGGGGTCACAGAAGGAAAGGTTTCTTCCACTCAAGAAAGGGCGAATCAGAGACAGCTTCCTGGAGCAAGCCTCAGCAGTAGCAGCTCCAGAATTTCTACAAGGGGAGCGGGTGAGGGTGGCAGCCTTTGGAGGCAGCTTGAAGCTGCATCATCAGGAGGGCATGTTCCGTAAGACTGAATATCAGTCAGCTGCCTGATCATGATGAGATCGGGGGGCTTCATTCTCCCCCAGCACCCCCCTTGCTTCTCCCACTCAAGAAATGGCATTTGATTCATGCCTCAGTAAATGAGGAGCATTTATCTGGACTCAGGGTGGTAGGGAAAGGATGAACACCTGACAGGAGCAAAAGCCTGGATGTGGAAAAGTTCAAGGCCAAGTACAGGGAGCCTGGAGTCCTTAGGTTTTGATGGAACAGGTAGAAGGAAGGAGTGGACAGTGACCTTGGAAAGGTAAGTTGAGCTTGGAATGCAAGACTAAGGTGTTTGGGCTTCATTCAGCAGATTGTGGGAGCCACTGAAGGTTTTGAGCAAGAGAATAACATGGCCAATGCTCTTTGGGGGCTTGATCTCTGGGGCAAGGTGGAGAATGAAAAGGAGCAGGCAAGACCACGAGAGGCTGGTTCCAGGCCCCTCCTAATGTTGGGGGGTGGGTGGCAGAGCAAGAGTGTAAATGAAGGTTCACATGTCACTAGCTAAAATATCTAAAAGTTATAAATCAAATGAGCACATAAAATACTTTCTATCCCCCTATCCTGACAAAGAGAGCTTCATAGCAACCTGAAGGGCCAGGTTCAATGTTTAATTCTCAAATCTTCACACCGGAAGGTGCCGAGAGATCTGCCCCATGGCCCCAACCTCCAATCTGGGGCCCACATCCAGTCTTCTTCCATCTCTACCTCCTTCCCTCACTGTGAGAGGCCTCACGCACGCCTGTGGGCACCGAGCCCACACATCCAAGCTGTTCATACCCCCAGCACACAGCTACCTCCAGCCACACTTCAGGCCTAGAGGGACACACACTGACTGAGCATCTGCCCTTCAGAGCCTGGGGCAGAGGTCTGAGCAAACCTTTGGAAGCAGGCTGGCTTGGGATGAGAGAAAATTCCAGAATCCAGAGCATTACATGTGTGTGGTCTAGAAGGAGAGGTTGCACGCTGCCCCTGATTTTTGTCCTTCTGAGTCTGGGGGACATGCCAAGAGAAGGCCCGAGTGGGACGTTCTAAAGCCCAAGACCCCAGGTAGGGGCCCCCTTCTGCCCGTGGTAAGGGCTTCCATGACCAGGGGAGACAGAATGAGGCCCTGAGCCAGGCCTTGTGAAGGAGGGAGCAGAAATGGCAGATTGCAGAGGACTTGGAGACCGGACAGGTGTGGCTGCCCATCCGAGCACTTTGAGTGCCACTGAAGCCTGAGCCTGGCTCCTTGACACCTTGGCACATGGGTTGATGGGTGGGTGCAGCCACCTGCACCCCTTGTAACAAGCATCCAAATGACTGTAGTGCTCTCCCTCTCCTCTGCCCTCCCTCTGCCCGCTCTCTCCAACCCCCAGCCTGCGGCGTCTGGCTGGGCCGTGTGCAGGGCGTCTGGCCCCAGGGACAGGTGGGGTGCACCCAAGTGCACACCTACACAGCTATAAATAGGGAGCCTCCAGCAGCGGCTCACTCAGCTTCTCTTCCCCAGCTGTGATACTGCTGGAGCCTCTGGGACGCCTGGACCATGGACCCTGGGGAATGCACCTGCATGTCTGGTGAGTAAGGATGCCCACTCGGGGGTCCTGGAACCTTGCACCAGCCTCCGATATGGAGCCCACAGGGCTCTGATGAATATTTCTCTTCCTCCAATTAGGAGCTGCCAACGGGGTTTGTCTCGGACCGGTGACCTCTGGGGCAGCGCCCACTCTGTTGCCTACCAGCCTGATTTGCTAGAATTGAGACCCTGGCTCAGGGGGCGCTTAGTGTCAGGCGCCTAGGGGCAGCCACCAGAGCTAAGGACCTGGCAATCTGGTTTGGGTTCCCTGCTGCCATTCACTCCTGACACTTCGTATTTCTGAACCTCCATACCCTCATCTGAAAACTAGGGTCACGGGCGCCTGGGTGGCTCAGATGGTTAAGCGTCTGCCTTCGGCTCAGGTCATGATCCCAGAGTCCTGGGATCGAGTCCCGCATAGGGCTCCCTGCTCCTTGGGAACCTGCTTCTCCCTCTGCCTCTCTCTCTGTCTGTCTTTCATGAATAAATAAATAAAATCTTTAAAAAAAAAAAAAGAAAGAAAACTAGGGTCACTCCTCCTCAACTGCCCACCTCCCAGGGCTGCTAAGAAAGTACTAAAATTATAAGGCACTTGGCAGAGGTCAAGGGAGTCATTAGAAATGTATGTGGGCTCCCGAGTCTCTGAAACGTCTTAGTTCCGTGGAAGCATGTAGCGCAGGAGGAGAGAGGTCGGAGTTTGGAGGCATCTTGGGCTTTTATGGCCTTTGGAAATGGTATCAAGAATTCTCATAAGCCTCTCTGGTCCTTAGCGGGACATGTCTGTACCCCAAACTTGCCAAAGAGACAGAAACTTGCAGCGTTTTGACACTCAAAATTTGACACTGCAAATGATAGGTGGGATGATTTTTTTTTTTTTTTAAGTGTAGATGGTTTTTATATGAAAACAAGCTGAGGCTACAGCTCTCACTTTGAGGTTATTTATGTCCCCCGTTCTTTCTCCTGCGCATTCAGGGTTTCCATCTTGCCTGATGCCTTGAAAAGGTGAAGAGGGTATACAAGGCTTCCACAGTCCCTAGGGGACCTTGGGCGTAGTAGACCTGGCCTGGTCTTAGTGGTTCTCAAACCTGATCGTACATCAGAATCATCTGGGTTACTCCAAGATTCCCGGGGCGCCTGGGTGGCTCAGATGGTTAAGCGTCTGCCTTCGGCTCAGGTCATGGTCCCTGGGTCCTGGGATCGAGCCCCGCATCGGGCTCCCTGCTCCGTGGGAAGCTGCTTCTCCCTCTCCCACTCCCCCTGCTTGTGTTCCCTCTCTCGCTGTGTCTCTCTCTGTCAAATAAATAAATAAAATCTTTAAAAAAAGAAAAATAAGATTCCCTTTCCCCACCCAGACTTAAACGAATCAGAATATCTCAAGGGTCGGTCCCATGAATCTGCAGTTTGGCAAGCATCCCGGTCGAGGGGCCCGATGCAGCCACCCCAGTTTCCATCTGGGGACTGTGACGGGGAACCATCCATGGCCGTGCCCCGGGGCGGCGGGGGGGGTGCTCAGCAGCCTCCTCATTCTCTTGCCCAGCCCCTCTCCAAGGACAGCCCAGAAACCCTGCCACCTCGTGTCCCCGTTTGACCGCAGTCCTCACGCTTGGGGCTCTGTCCTCTCTTCTAGGAGGAATCTGCATCTGCGGAGACAACTGCAAATGTACAACTTGCAACTGTAAAACGTGCCGGAAAAGTGAGTTATGAGTTACGCTGAGCGGGGATGTGGCTGGCCGGAAGCTAGGAAAGTCTGTTCCCTCCCTTCCCAACCCGCCAGCCATGGTGGGATGAAGCGGGTTCTGGAGGCCTCGGACCCATCTGAGAGGGATCTGTAATGACAGCTGAGCCGAGGCCTCGGGCAAAGCTCCTGAGGGGGGGCAGCCTCACCTGGGGGTGAGGGCGTCCACCGGGTTGTGGGTGCTCGCGGAAGAAGAGGGCTGCGGGGAGGTCCTGCTATGCCCAGTGCCGGAAGGGACGGAGCACTGACCTAGAGTCATGAGCTCTGGGTTTTAGTTTCAGATCTGCCACTGACCAGTGACCTTGAGCCAGCCCCTTCCCCTCGCTGGGGCAGCCGGTAGACTCCTGATGACCCCTGAGATCCCTCCTGGGATCTTGCTGCCCCGGGGTTTTCTGCTAATGTGGATTGAAGCCTGTGGCCTGCTCTGCCCTTCCTGCTTTCTCTCTTAAGTGGTGGGAGAGGACGTGGTAAGAGGGAAGCGTTGACCCCCAAACTGACCTGTCCATCTCCTGACCCTTCCAGGCTGCTGTCCTTGCTGCCCCCCGGGCTGTGCCAAGTGTGCCCAGGGCTGCATCTGCAAAGGGGGCTCGGACAAGTGCAGCTGCTGCACCTGAAACACATCTGTTGTGCTGGGGGCCAAGGCCCAGGAGGCGTCTGTACAGTGCCTTAGTCGAGAAGTTGGAATTATTGTACAATATAGGTTATGCTTTTTATATATTTGCTCAGATGCAGTGTGGGTGACCTTCATGTAAAGGGCTTGAAAAATAAAGGTTTCGCTCATGGTTGTCTGGTGGCTCAGAGCAGTGTTTTGCCCTAACCCAGCAGGACTGAGAAGGGCTGACACCTTGCGTACGGTAAGCGTCAGCCTGCACCCCTTCTGCAGGTGGCTGCTAACCGTAGGAGCCGGCAACTCTGCCTCAGGGGGCTTCCTCCGGCTGTGGGAGCTTGCTTGAGGCACGCACAGAGCAGCCCAGGAGTACTGGGGAGTCAACACCCCTGGGGACAGCCCTTAGCTGACAACAAACAGGAGTCAGTGGATAAATACCCCCCCCCAGCATCTCTACCCTTAACGGTGGGACAAATCTGAGACGGGTTCCACACCATGCCCCAGAAGTCCCCAGCTGCGCAGGTCTCCAATAGCCCATGGCGGTACCCCGCTCATTAACATACCCCATATTGGCTCCCTTCCTTCCCTGCCTCACTTGTCCGTTTTCCTCCCAGTGCTTCCTGGGATCCCCACCCAGCGAAACCTCTTGAACAGGGTCTGCTTTGTGACTAACTGAATCTTAGCCAGGCTCTCTTGGCATAATGTCGGCCCAGAATGACTTGTTGTGTGAAGAGTGCTGTTTAAAGAACTCCCCGTGCTGGGGGCGCCTGGGTGGCTCAGTTGGTTAAGCAACTGTCTTCGGCTCAGGTCATGATCCTGGAGTCCCGGGATCGAGTCCTGCATCGGGCTCCCTGCTGAGCAGGGAGTCTGCTTCTTCCTCTGACCCTCCCCCCTCCCCCCTCTCATGCTCTCTTTCTCTCTCATTCTCTTAAATAAATAAAATCTTTAAAAAAAAAAAAAAGAACTTCCGTGCTGAATCAGCCATGAATTCCTAGCGAAGGATGTTTGTGTGGATCTAAAGAAAATCCCCAAGGCCAAGGCACCGAGGGCATTCGCTCCCTGGTTTGGGTATTTGGGCCCACTTTGGACTGGGTTGATGGAACAGAGACCCGGAGAAAGTGATGCTGTTCCTGAAGTTCTTGCAGTTCACAGAAGTCAATGTAAAGAGAATCCAAGGTCTCTACCCACCTCCCCAAGATTGCTGACACACACATCAGAGCTTTCGCCTGCTAAGCTTGATGACTGTCGGTGCTGCCATTATGTATGATACAGCCCTTACAATGCACCAGCCACTGTGCTGAGCCTTTTACACACACTCTCATTTAGTCTCCAGGGTAGCCCTGCAAAAGGGTGGGTTGTATGGAGGAATCCTTGATTTTTAAAAAAATCCTTTATTTTTAAATAGGTCTACATGCACAATGTACAAAATACAAAAGATCCATAGGGTGTAGGTCTCCCCACCTTAGCGCCCCAGCCCCTCCTCCTCAAGACAATGACAGTAAGCACTTAACTTGTGTAACACTCCAGCAGTGTTCCTGCCCGTACAAGCACATATGACATGCTGCCTCGCACGCACACACGGCAGTGTCCTATGTACCCGGGGAAACTTTGTGTTTTCCCTTATATAGTTAACTCTCTGCCAAGTCCTTTCTTCCACTTAAGAGAGAAGAGTAAGTAGAGGAAAAAATAGGAAGATCAAACCACAAAAAAAATACGGTGACAAAACAAGAATTAGTGGATGAAACACAGTAGGAGACAAAGAGAAAACTCTACACAAGTCTCTCCCACGGCAGAGTCGCTGCTGAGCCTAGCACCTGCCAGGGACCGTGCAGAGCAGGGACCATAAACATCTATAAGAAGCACTGACAACAGTGAGCCTTCCTCTCCCTAAAAATGCCCATATAAATACCTTCACTCAACTTTACATGTGATCTTAGGGAACTCCCGAACCCACTGAGCCATCTCTGGATCTGCCACGAGATCTGAGTTAGGCATCTATGGTCCATGCATGCTGTTATTTAAAAGAATAAAGTGGTCTAATAATAGATTAAAATATTAAGCACCTACTACCTGCCAGGCACTGGGTCCCACCTCTCCCCTGCATTATTTTCATTTTAATCGTCACAACATGACCTCACGAAGTCATTACTGTTAATCAACTCCGTCTTCCCCAGAGGGGGAAACCAAGGCTCACAGAGGTTATGTGACTCACCCAAGGCTACACAGCTAGTTTATAAAATTGAGATTTCGAATCCAGATTTACAGACTCCAAAGCTGTGCAACTGAGAGCAAGTGGAGATGCAGAACCAACCTAGTAGAAGGACCGAGGTGAAGGCTGCAGTCCCTGGAGGCTGGCGCTGCGGAGGGGAGGGGGAGACTCGGTCCCCTCTCACCCACACCACCACCCCCAGCAGAGTGTGGATAACTCGAGCTCTGTGATGGCGTTCATGCTGCCAAGGGCCTGAAAGCCGGGCCCAGCGGAGGCTGGGAGCAGCTGTCCACTCCACCAGCCTATGTCCAGGTGGCCATCAGAGAGCAGCAGTCTTTTTGTTTTTCCTCGCATTTCGAATTGCCTTTCCCCCCTTGCTATTTGTGGAACAGTCGAATATGTACTGGCTTCTTTCCTTATCTTCTGTACAACTGTCATTCTGGCATCTCTTTTCATTGTTCTCCTAGGCTAGACCCATTGCTACTTGGGTCCCCCATCATCCTCTATCTTGGGCTCCTTTCTATTTTGCTGAAGTACCTCCTCAAGCAATTTTTGTTGTTGTTGTTACCAAAAGAATGGATTCCCTAAATGTCAGAAAACACCTTTATTTTTCCCTCATGCCTGTTTGATAGTCTGGCTGGGTATCAAATTTTAAGTTCAATATAATTTTTTCTTAGCACTTTTGAAGGCAGTGCTGCATTATCTTCCAACGTTTGGCGTTGCTGCTAGGAACACCAGCATGACCTTGCCCTTTCTTTTTCTTTTTTTTTTTTTTTTAAAGATTTTATTTATTTATTTGACAGAGACAGAGATAGCGAGAGCAGGAACACAAGCAGGGGGAGTGGGAGAGGGAGAAGCGGGTCTCCCGCGGAGCAGGGAGCCCGATGTGGGACTGGAGCCCGATGTGGGACTTGATCCCAGGACCCCGAGATCATGACCTGAGCCGAAGGCAGACGCCCAACGACTGAGCCACCCAGGCGCCCTGCCCTTTATTTTTCACTGGGCGCTTTTGAGAAATTTCTCAGGCCTTTTGCAATCCTCTTATTGATCTTTTAAATTTTGGTCCATCATATTTTAATACATTAAGAGCTTCTTCTCTGAACATTTATCATAATACCTTATTTGTTTAAGTCCTTTCCTGAATCTCTCCGATGTGTGGGAAGTTTTTTTTAAATGTTTGTTAAGTTTCCTCTTTCTTGAACTATTTCTGGTGCGAGCCAAGCTACTCATGCTGTTTGACAAAGTCCAAGTATGAGGGACAATCCTGAAAAATCAGGAGACTCCACAGCTGGCTCCTGCTACTTCCTTTCATTTTATTTGCGGCAATCCTTATAATCAATTCTGGGGTTTCATGATAAAATGATTTATAAATTTAGTTATGTCTATGCAAGCAATCATAATGAAACTGATTCCAAAAAGGCCCACGATGGGCCAAGAAGTGAAAATACCCAATGTCCTCCAATCTGTAAGGGAGCGGTTGGATCCAGGCCCGGTAAAAATTCCTATTGATGAGATTCCTCAGGCACCTCTGAAACGTTAGAAAAATCTGACATTCCACAGGACAGGAACCTCCCTTTGTTGTATACAAAATAGGAGGCCACCTTTGGTATGCCCCTCGAGGCAAGCCCCTGGTGTAGGATAACTTCCTTGCCCCTACTCCTCCCATTCCCTATACTGGAGTTGATAATGAGGACATAAACAAATGGTGTAAGATTAAAGGAAAAAAGGGTGCGGGCATCATCTGACAGCCTCTGGGAAAGGAGTGATCCTCCGTGGTGTCTACAGAGCAAGGACAAGAGACCTATAGAAATGGAATAAGTACTTTGATAAGATAGGGTGCACCCATTGTAAGCTGCCTTTGGAGAAAGTAGATAACCTTCATAGGTCACGCTGTTTTCTAAATCCGAAATGATGGCGATAAAATAAGATCACATGGAAGAATGGAAAAACAAGAAAACGCTAATGTAAAAAAGAGTCCCTCCGAGGCTATCGGGCGGGAGATGCTTGCAACCTGGTCCTGTGTCCGTGTCTCCTCACTCGCCGACGCGGTCCTTTCCTTCAAGGACCCTTCCCCCGCTGGAGCTGGACTCCGGCATATTTCTGCTTCTCTGAGCTGCAAGCAGGCTCTGTGGGTGTCAGTGAGGTTTGCTGACTGGTAGACTTGGTTTAGCACGCCCAAGTGGGGAGCCAGCCGGCAGGTGTGACCCACCCTCAGTGCCAAAACCAAAAGGGCCCTCCTCTGACCCTATTCTGCAAGCCCTAGCCCCTCCTAGACTGGTTACTCCCATTTCTTCAGAGACATCTCACAGCCTCAGCCTGCGGGCAACTGGCAGGGCTGTACAAGGAGGGGGAAAGGAGGCCAACCTGATGATTACGTGGTAGGCTACAGCCACTTCTTCCATCGGTCCCCATCCTGGTTTCTGTGACCACTTCCTCTAACGCTATCCCAGCCTGACTCCCCCAACCCCGCCAAAACCCAAGTAACACAGAACCCCCATAGACTTCTCTCCTTTTTGATCTGAGCTGTGGCTTCCTCTCCGCCCATTTACTCATCAATGTGATTTGACCAATTCAGTATTCCAGAAAAATCTGGTAACCTCTGACCCACTGATGTGCCGTCCGAGTCATCCTCCCCCGCACCAATTCTCAGCTCTTTTATTAGTTTGTCTTGTCCTTCTTTGTCTTTTTTTTTTTTTTTTTTAGTTTCTTTCAATGGAGTCTCAGGAGAAAGAAGAGGTAAATGCATGTATTCCGTCTCCCATCTTGAGCCCCAAATTCCAGGCTAGGCTTCTTAGTCGGATTATGATGTCCATT